GCACGGGCAGCCCGTGCGTTGGCCAATTTTTTGCATTGCATAACTGCAAAAAACGCATAAAAACGCATGTTTGCACAGGCCCGCCTGATGCGCGTTGCCACTGATTGTTTTCGTCTTCTTCACGTGATTCTCCCATTCAGTTCACATCTCTATATGCATATGTCCTGACAATGAGAATGTCAAGGAAAAGTCGTTCCACACTGATAAAAACAGCTGTTGTTGAGAGTACATCACTCCAACCTTGCTTCTTGCGGAATCTAAGTACGTCCAGCACTCAAATGAGACAGTTTTCTCGCTTCAAGCTTTATTTTTGCGAGGGCCAATCTTCGATCGGAGTCTGCTAAGGTGTGTCAGTTAGTTGTTTTAACCAAACCCGTTAGGAAATGTGACAGTGACGTCGACTACGACAAAATTAATTTTTACGCTTTGACTGATGCATCGTTACTTCCCAGCCAGTGTTCATTTTGGGAACAATTCTCTACAGACTTTCAATAAACCCGTGTTTATTCAGTTGATGAGTTGTTGTTTGTTTGAGATTCTAACAGAGGAGATTTTTGCACTTTTTGCACTTTGCACCATTCGCTAGTTGAATATTTATGAAACGCGACAGTTAACCCCTACTGATGCCACGTGAATAGGTTGGTTGCGCACCACTCACAATAAAAAGACCGAATTTTGTAGGGATTTGAATATGGAGGCAAATACGTGAAGAATGTGGTAAGGGAAAAGGGAGAAAAAGTCTGAGAGAACAATGTTTGTTGTACGAAGAATAAGGCGATCCATGCGAAATCCATGCAACTTGGTCGGTTTAACACTTGCTGCACCTCTGACCTAATTATCAGAAAATGCGACCCCTACCGTGACACAGACACGGGGTCATCACCAACTTGTTTTGCAAACGATGCAACTCCTCGACTGATGAAACAAAAGTAACCAAGCCCACTACTGTTGCGGTAGTTAGGAGAGCCTTTATCACTTCCCAGGACTACCTGATGCGCTATCCATTGGCAGTGATTGCATGAAAGTATCAGTTCGGAGGAGCCAGATGTATCTGTCCTCGACATAAAGCTGATGACGATGTGCACATTGATATGTTTACTATCACCAATCATATAAGAAGCGGGGGTGTTTGCACCCTATTGTCCTCAGCAGTACAAAAGTAACCTAAGTTCTACCATGGATGCAGTCCAGTGCACTTGTTGCAAGGATTCGCATGGGTTGCAGGAGTGTCCGGCAGAAAAGCACAGGAATAAGTTGTCTCTTGTATCATGTGACTGGCGAAATTGTTAAGAGAGCGCTAGAAGTGCGTATGTTAGTGTGAAAAACACTGGCTTTTTTCAAGCGGTTTATCAAAATTTTAATATATGTGGAGCAGATGCTCACTTGCCAACACCAACACCTGATGAAACGCCGATATTACCGAGACCAAACGGGAGGCTCACACCCGAATTCTGCTGGAAGCCAAACCCACCGCCCAGAAAGCCAACGCCACTATTACCAAAACCACTGTTGAATCCACCTTCATTCATTTCTGCCCGATTTCGGGCTCCATGCGCTGCAAAATTTTCACTCAGAAAAGGTATTCCACCACCTGTTCTTGAACCAGCACGATTACTGAATTCTGCAGGGCCGTTAGATTCTTGGTTTTCAGGAATCCAAGGTTCCTGCCTTGCATTATGGCTTTCGCCATGCCTAGCTGATGAACCTTTGTTGAAATCTTGCCCAGATTCATCGTTGCTTCGTACTTGAGACGGCATTTTTGGGACCTGAATATTTCTCGTATTGCCCAGTTCCGTTTCTGGTTGAATCATACTGGAACTGAAACGTATCCCACAACGTTGACTTACAGTTAAATGAATACAAAGCTGTTACAAGTATCACATAAATGAACTGGTGTTGAGTCATCACCAAAAGCAGTAGCACGCAGACGCACTCCTTGCGCAGTTATCGGAGGCCTTCTTAACTACGCTTTGACTAGAAAGCTGTAGTATTTTGTCCGGGGCAAACTCACTTTCCTGACAGTTTTGACAGTAAAAAGTACTGTCAGCAGTCCATCTCAAAGGAACACTGGCAAACCCCTTTTTTTGTGTTTTTATGCTTTTTTTGCAGCTACGCAATGCGGAAAACGCATAATGACGAGAGGTATCTGTGTGTGTGCGTGCGTGTGTGTGTCTGCGTGTGGGCAGGGCCTCTGTGCCGATTTTCCATTTCGAGACCTACAAAAGCTGTAGGGATGAAACTTTGGAAATTTAGTCTATATGCACGTACGGGCCCCCACCCCCAAAATGGGCGTCCTTACCCACGTGGTACCACGTAGGAGCCCGCCAAAGTTTTTTACGCGCAAGCTGCTAACTCGGGAACCAGAACTGCTTGGGGTTGAAATTTTAAGAGGATTTTCCTCGTCCAAGTAGGTATTAATAAGCTCAAACCCAGCTTTTTCGGGTAAGTTGATAACTCGGGGATCTGAGAAGCTAGAAAGCTGAAATGTTAGGGTGATGGTCCCCGTCCGCCTAAGTCTCATTCAATTCAAAACCAGCCCTCGGGTATGCGTGATACCTACGTAGGAGCTCACCTAAATTTTTCTCGGGTAAGTTGGTAATTCGAGAAACTGAAAAGCTAGAAGACTGTAGTTTTAAGAGGATGCTCCCCGCCCCAGTAAGCCTCAACGAGCTCAATCTCAGACATCGGATATGCATGGCATCCACGTGCGGGCCCGTGAAAGCTTCTTTTCCAGTAGGTTGCTAATTCAGGAGCCAGGAAAGCTAGAAAGCTGAAATTTTAAGGAGGTGTTTCTTGCCAGTTCTGGCGGCCAGTCTTAATTTGTTTAGCTAGAAGCATTTGCCGAAAAAAC